TGTTTGACTAATTATGTGTCTAATATGGCCAAGTCAACGTAACTTCGTACTTATTTCGACTTATTAAAAAATTCATATTTGATTTGACGCAAATGGGTATTTAAATGACAGTTCAATATCTTGTTTTATGGATTTGAGTGGCAAGTATTTTGGTTCTGGAACTGATCTGATCCAAATTTGAATTCTCTTTACCGGTTTATAAAAGGCTTCGGCTAGAAGTGAGTATGGGCTTTGAAAGTTAGTAGGCCCAAAGTTCTTTAAGGCGCAAAAACAAAACAAAACGACATCGTGTAGGAGGCTTAACTAAAACCCTTGCACTTGTAGTGTTGAGTTCTCGAAGAAGAAGCAGCGAACTAGTTTTGTTTCTTCAAAGGAAAAAAATGGGGAAAAATAACCAACAATCGGCGAGAGAGACAAAGCGAGAAGCTGAAGATAGAATCAAAGAGATAAAAAATGGTTTATTCGCTTCTTGTTCATTCACTTCCCTTGGTCTAGATCCCAAGCTCTCTGACCAGCTCAAAGGTTCTCTGTTCATGTCTTTGTGCTTATACATACTCTATATATGTTTATTAAGCAGCTTTACCCTGTTGATTAACAAGGTTTAATGTTCGTGTCAATTTTACAGAAAGGATGGGTTTTGAAGCTCCTACGCTTGTACAAGCTCAATCTATACCTGTTATTCTCTCTGGTCGAGATGTGTATCCTTTTTTTCAATTATTTTCTATTTTTGTGTGAGTTTTATGGTTTTAGGTTTGTTTTCGTTAACTTGTGGATATAAATAGACTTGTCAATGCTGCTACTGGAACTGGGAAAACTATTGCGTATTTGGCACCACTTATTCATCACTTGCAGGGTTATTCTCCCAAGGTTGATCGTTCTCATGGAACTTATGGTATGATTGTCTAGCTAGAGCTTTTTAGAATTTGTTAGGAGGTGTAGTGATGGTTGGACTTTGTATGTGGCAGCTTTGGTGATTGTGCCAACACGAGAACTGTGCCTTCAAGTGTATGAAACCTTGGAGAAGCTGCTGCATCGGTTCCATTGGATTGTCCCTGGTTATGTCATGGGAGGCGAGAAAAAGGCTAAAGAAAAGGCTCGGCTAAGGAAAGGTGCCATCTTTTTACATATTCTGTTCTGTTACTTCTTTCTTGCATTATTGTTTATGTGAGAAGCGATTACTAATAGTTTTATTTCAGGGATATCCATTCTAATTGCAACCCCGGGACGCCTTCTTGACCATTTGAAGAACACAGCTTCCTTCGTCCACAAAAATCTGCGTTGGGTTATCTTCGACGAAGCTGATTGGTATCATTTATTATTTCTCTTCCTTGATCCTGTGCTTCCTTTACTGAGTTCTTCTGTTGGATTTTGGTAGCATTCTCGAATTAGGTTATGGGAAGGAGATAGAACAGATAATTGAGCTTCTAGGCTCTGGACAAGGGGAAAAAGATGATAGTGTTCCAAAGGGAGTTCAGAAGCAGAACTTGTTATTGTCTGCAACATTGAATGATAAAGTTAATCACCTTGCAAAACTTAGTTTGGACGATCCGGTAATGATTGGTCTTGACAATAGCAAAGTGCAACCAAATCTATCATTAGAGGCTCCTGACTCTGATACGGATGATTTGGTAATTCATGTAAACAAATCTGCAAACCCTTTATCTGAGGACTATGGAATACCATCACAGCTAGTGCAGAAATATGTTAAAGGTACACTAATCTTCACTTAAATCTATTTGAATTGTTTGAGGTTTCTACTTTGCGTAACAAATACCATTATATGCAGTGCCATGTGGTGCACGGCTTGTTGCACTTCTTTCTGTTCTCAAGAACCTCTTTGAGAGAGAAGCTTCTCAAAAGGTAAAACTCAAGCCGAACATATCCAAAGTTCCTGTCATATAACAGTCTGTTTGTTTTCCAATTCTTAGTTGATTGAGGTTCTGTGTGGCTTGCAGGTGGTCGTATTCTTTTCGACACGTGCTGCTGTAGATTTTCATTACTCACTTCTGAGTGAATTCCAGTGGCCACCAAAATCTGAGACGCAAGAAGAGGAGGAGACGACGAAACAGTTGTTTCTTAATTGCAAAACGTTTCGGTTACATGGAAGTATGGAGCAGGATGATAGAAAATCTGCATTTGGGACCTTTAAAGCAGAGAAACAAGCCCTTCTCTTGAGTACAGATGTTGCTGCTAGAGGCTTGGATTTCCCAAAAGTAAGATGTATTATACAATATGACTGTCCCGGGGAAGCTACTGAGTATGTGCATAGGTAAATTCTGGAATTCCAAAAACCACTTAACGTATCTACCTTAAAATACATAGTACCTTGAATTTACTGAGCTCATGTGTTTGAGATTTAACATGGTTGTTGCAGAGTTGGTAGAACAGCTCGTATTGGTGAAAAAGGAGAAGCCTTGTTATTTCTACAGCCAGTTGAAATAGACTATCTTAAGGACCTTAAGAAACATGGTGCAACACTTACAGAGTACCCTCTTCTTAAAGTGCTTGATAAATTTCCGCTACCCGCCAATATGCCACGCATCAAAAAGGTCATATCTCTAGAATCGCATCCGTGGGTCATAACTCTGCAGAGAGCTCTTGAATCCTTCACTTACGCCGAGGTACGCTTCTCTTCAATGGTTTATCTCTCGTTGTGATTGATATATCCCTCTGATTGAAAAAACCTCTTCTTGTTTGTGGCTTTGTTTTATTCACAGCCGACGATGAAGAACCTAGCGAAGAATGCATTCGTCTCTTGGGTTCGGGGATATGCAGCTCACAAGGGAGAGCTCAAGAGCATTTTTGTAGTGAAGAAACTTCACTTGGGACATGTCGCCAAGAGCTTTGCTCTGAGAGAGCAACCGTCTTTAGTAGGGAAATCACATCAGAAGGAAACAATGAAGAGAAAGAGAGACGAACGTTCAAAAGGGCTACAATCAAAGAAGACAAAGAAGATGAATAGCAACAGAAATGTACAAAAAACTTGATCAAATCCGTTTTGCCACCACCAAAAACTTGATCAAATCAGTTTTGTATCATCAAAAATTTTGAAATAATTTAAAAAGTTTGCAACTTTATCAAATGCTCTGTTATTAAGAAGGAAAGTTCAATTCTTTATGAATTTGAAGCTGATATGCGTTTCAAGCTACACGACGTTCACACTCGTCGTGGACTTTGTTGTTTAGCTAACTCTTACATTTCTCCGTCTTCGTTGAATTCTGGAATCAGAGCTTTGATTCAGAAAGGAGAGTATCTACAAGCTCTGCATTTATACACTAAGCATGATGTTTCTTCTCCCTTGTGTACTTCCGTTTTCACATTTCCTTCTCTTTTCAAAGCGTGTTCTTTTCTTACAAACCTCAGCTATGGCAAAACAGTTCATGCTTCGGTTATCGTTTTGGGTTTGCGATACGATCCTTTCATTGCAACTTCGCTTGTCAATATGTACGTAAAATGTGGATCTTTAGATTACGCAGTCCAAGTGTTCGACGGTTGGTCTCAGAGTGGAGTTTCTGTTCGGGATGTTACAGTTTGGAACTCTTTGATTGATGGGTACTTCAAATTTCGCAAATTTAAGGAAGGGATTGATCGTTTGCGTCGAATGTTGGTGTTGGGCGTAAGACCTGATGCTTTCTCGTTGTCCATTGTTGTTAGTGTTTTGTGTAAAGAAGGAAACTTGAGGCGGGAAGAGGGAAAACAGATTCATGGGTATATGTTAAGGAATTCGTTAGACGGTGATTCTTTCTTGAAAACTGCTTTGATAGATTTGTATTTCAAGTTTGGTTTAGCAACAGATGCGTGGAGTGTGTTTTTGGAGATTGAGGATAAATCGAATGTTGTACTATGGAATGTGATGATTGTTGGGTTTGTTGATAGTGGACGCTGTGACTATAGCTTGGAGTTGTATATGCTTGCTAAGAATAACAGTGTCAAGCTTGTTTCCACTTCATTTACCGGAGCTCTTGGTGCGTGTAGTCGAAATGAGAATTTTGGTTTTGGGAGACAGATACATTGCGACGTTGTGAAGATGGGACTTGACAATGACCCTTATGTTTGTACTTCTCTACTGTCAGTGTATTCAAAATGTGGTATGGTTGGTGAGGCAGAAACTGTCTTCAGTTGCGTGATGGATAAAAGACTTGAAATATGGAACGCGATGGTTGCAGCTTATGCAGAAAATGATTTTGGTTACTATGCTTTGGAGTTGTTCAGTTTCATGAGGCAGAAAAGTGTCTTGCCTGATTCTTTTACCTTGTCGAATGTTATATCCTGTTGCAGCATGTTGGGAATGCATGACTATGGCAAATCAGTTCATGCGGAACTGTTTAAGAGACCAATACAAAGTACGCCTACAATAGAGAGTGCTTTGCTCACTCTCTATTCCAAATGTGGATGTGATACAGATGCGTATTCAGTCTTCAAATCAATGGAAGAAAAAGATATGATTGCGTGGGGCTCCCTAATCTCAGGACTTTGCAAGAATGGGAAATTCAAAGAGGCTCTGAAAGTTTTTGGGTCCATGAAAGATGATGATGATAGCTTGAAACCTGATTCTGATATTATGACCAGTGTTATAAACGCATGCGCCGGATTAGAGGCTCTCAGTTTTGGCCTTCAGGTTCATGGCGGCATGATTAAAACTGGACTAGTGCTGAATGCTTTTGTTGGCAGCTCCCTTATTGATCTGTATTCTAAATGTGGCTTACCAGAAATGGCTCTCGAAGTTTTTAGCGGCATGAGACCGGACAACATTGTTGCCTGGAATTCAATGATATCTTGCTACAGCCGAAACAACCTTCCAGAACTATCGATAGAATTTTTCAATCTGATGCTTAATCACAGTGTCTTCCCAGATTCAGTATCCATCACAAGTGTCCTTGTAGCAATCTCATCAACTGAAAGCTTGCTTCAAGGGAAAAGTCTACATGGTTATACAATAAGACTCGGCATTCCTTCTGATACTCACCTGAAAAATGCTTTGATTGATATGTATGCAAAGTGCGGTTTTTCGAAGTATGCAGAGAGTATCTTCAGGAAAATGCAACATAAAAGCTTGATCACTTGGAACCTAATGATATATGGGTATGGATCCCACGGTGATTGTCCTAGAGCATTGAGCCTGTTTGATGAAATGAAGAAGGCAGGAGAATCGCCTGATGATGTGACATTCCTGTCTCTGATTTCAGCCTGCAATCATTCCGGTTTTGTGCATGAAGGCAGACACATTTTTGAGATCATGAAGCGAGACTATGGAATCGAACCGAAAATGGAGCATTATGCAAATATGGTGGATCTTCTAGGACGTGCAGGTCGCCTCGAAGAAGCATACAGTTTTATAAAAGCAATGCCTATGGAACCAGACAGTAGCATATGGCTCTGCCTCTTGTCTGCTTCAAGAACTCATCATAATGTGGAGCTTGGGATATTGTCTGCCGAGAACTTGTTGAGAATGGAACCAGAAAGAAGCGGCAACTATTTTCAGCTAATCAATCTTTACATGGAAGCAGGATTGAAGAACGACGCAGCAAAGTTGTTGAGTGAGATGAAGGAGAAAGGCTTGCAGAAGAATCCTGGTTGCAGTTGGATTGAAGTAAGCAGTAGCATTCATGTTTTCTTTTCAGGAGGATCGCGTTCTCCAATGGCGACTGAGATATGCAATGTATTGAGTAGCTTAAAGAGTAACATGAGAGAAGAAGTCAAGTCCACTTGAAAAAGATAACATTCCGAATTGATGGCGTCTTTACATCATTTCTACTTCTGAAAAACACATAAGAAACTCTCTTTTTGGCAGTGTAGAGTAAAAAATAGACACTCTTGGGGTTTAAAATGAATGATATTACAAATCCAATGATTCGTTGGTTGCTTGGTTCGAACCCGAGTCACCTGGAGATGCTTTCAAAAAAAAATGTACATTGTATGCTGTTTATCTTCTTCTTCCTCTAGTGTTCCATCACATTCCAGATGAAGTTCGGTTAATGCGTTGGGCACCAAGTTTAGGAGCTGCAGGTTTGGCTCCTCGGCCACGACCGGAAGACAAAGGTTTTGCTCTCGTGGTTGGTGGTGGAGCAGCAATGGCAGCCCAAGGATCTTCGTCATCAGACTGTACTGTCTTTTTCAAGTTCAACGGTCTTGAAGTAGTTGCAGGCGGAGGAGCAGCTATGGATCCCCACAAATCATCATCTTCGGTTTTCGCAGCTGCTTTCACCGTGCTAATCTTTGGTCTTGAGCTTGTAGCTACAAAGTGAGGGAATTAACGCATAACCATATGAATTTTAAGAAGTTTAAGAGAATGCGTTGAGGCGAACTGATTCAGCTAAAGATTGGTACCTGCAGGTCTAGAGGGCTGAGACACAGGTCGTTTTTGAGCTGCTTGAATGTTTGAGAGAGCTGGAGAAGGTTTTGGTTCATCGAGAGGTTCAAGATCACCCCAACCGTCTTTGTCATCATCATGACCTTCACTAATGCCATTCTCAATATCTCCCCAACCATCTGTTGATGTTGGGGATGGTGGTGCGGGTTGATCTGTGAAGTCCGAGTTGGAACGTGTATGATGACTTGCTTTCACACTCGGCGCCTCCGTTGCTGAGGAAAATATCCAAGAAATCAACAAAATAGGAATTGAAAAAGTACTGGTAACTGTAATGACCAGCCAAATGAAAGACAAATCGAACATATAATCAAGGCGTTTTCTTCTTTTCTTTAATTATTTACATATCCACAGTTGCGCATTTCAATAAATATTACTTCCAGGGTTGAGAGAACAAATTATGGTGTGTGATCTCAAGTGTACCTGTGCTTGCAGCATTTGAGGCTGCAGAAGCTAGGGATGGTGCTGAAGAAGAAGAAGGAAGAGGCGCTTGTTCTAATGGCTTACCCTTAAGAGTCAAAGAACTCATAGCCCATCTATAAGAGCAATTAAATTAGTATACCTAGCACTCTGACAAATGTTCATATAGTAAATCTGATTTGACTATTACTCACCCGATCAGACCAGCAGTTTCAGGTATAGCTGAGGCTCCTCCGGTGGCTCCTGACTCTCCAGCGTTTGTCTATTAACAAACCCAAAAGAACTCAGTTATCTTCCAGCCCCTTATGTCAATAAGACTTTAAATATAAAAACAGCTCAAGGAAAGAGTTCGGTAGAGCCATTGTTCCTACCTTCTCATAATTCTGTTTCAGTATCTGAAGAAACTGTTCTACAGCCTGAAATGCCTTTGATCGAACCTCACTATTAAGGAAAATGAGAGGAAATGCTTTATATTTTGTCAAAGCGAAAAATACCAGACAAATGCACTTAAATAAGGTTACCTGTCTTGATCAATGGTTAGCACAACAATATTTGGAAGAATCCTAGTTGCTATTTCAGTGTCGTCATAAGTAGAACTTGTGGCACATAATGCAACAATACCTGCGTTACGTAAAATCTCGTGAGCTAATGACACTTGGAAACAAGACAAAAGCAGGAATATCTCTCAGAGAACCAAAAACATCCTACAAATTACATAATCACGAGGATCCAGTAATAACTGGCATTCACATACCTGCACCTCGAGCAGGTGGAAATGTATCACGCAGTGCCCGCACTGTAAAAGCATTAATCAAAACTCTTTTCCTTGTCTGCATCATTGTTTCATGATTAGGCACAGCCAAAAACAAGAAATCCATAAAGGTAACAAAAGAATTAAAAAAAAACGAAACCACTGGAGACTAACCCCTTCATTTAGGTAGGTGGCAATATTCCCGAGTAAAATAGTGGTATTGGTTCTGATTGCCGGCTCTTCATCCACCTGCGGATAAATAAACCACAAATACTGTGATGCATCTACTACATACACGAATTATTTTAACAATCAAATATGGGAAAGAAATCGGTCAACGGATGCAAACCTGTAGTTTGGAAAGGTATTTCAAGAGGGATCCGGAAAGTGTACGCTGAGAAAGCTGCAGCCACAATAAAAGAACAGAAATATATATTAGATACAATTGAATTATGACAAAGAGAAAATGCTAACAATAATAAGACTAGCTAAATGTCTTGAGATGACACTGCTTAAATGGGTTCGGACAGACACCTTTGGAGCTAAAACGAGCATCGATTTAAGAGTCAGCTCTCGGAGAAAAGCAGATGTGTCCGCAAATCCAGTAGCAACATGAGGGTATACCTAGTAAAATCACAGCCCATTGTTAATGTTAAAAGTATGCAACTAGACAGCGCTGTTGCCAAATACCCACAGCCACACACTTTTTAGGCCACAGAAGAGAAATATATCTTACTTGTTCATCGACAATTTGCCCTGACATTGATTCTCCAAATTGATCAACATGTTGCAAAAGAGAAACTCTAATAGCTCGATCATTGGAAGCAAAAAGCTTGACTATTGTTGGCAACACCTAAAGTCATAGAAGGGAGTAACTTCAGATAGATGAAAAATATCCATATGCATGTGCAAATATAACATACCAGATGAGTGGTTTTAAAGCGTTTTAACAGAGATATAGCATGACTGAACAACCTTCACACTGAAATCTTCAGTTGATAGCCATGATCCCATCTTAAGTAAGGCAGTTAATGCAGGGGCAGCAGCTGAACCAAATTCAAGTGAAGACGCTAATAAAGGAAGAAGCTGCATCAACCAGAAGGTTAAGTCAAGTAGCAAAACGCAGAGCCTTCAATTCAAGGCAAATGTTGTCTTAGTACCCCCAATAAGTTTCAGACTCGCACCTTCTTAAGCACGATCTCCCGAGGAAGCTGTTCAGCAACATTTGGAAGTTTGCGGAAGAAAGTATCTTTTTCAACACTGTCTTTCAAGTTAAGAATATCCATAAAATGTATAGTGTCCACCAGCTTATTTTGGAAATACTCTGCCAAATGTCAGAAATAAGAATCACGAGACGAGGGATAGTCACAGATAACTACGAGAGATACAGCACCATTACAAACATAAACAAAAACCCAGAGGGTAGGGCCAAAAGCAAGAATACAGCGGGACAAAACAAGCTGAGAATCAACAATAAACTATTTAAGTTACAAAATTTATAACCAAGACAGGATGATTACCGCCATTTTCTAGAAGTTTTGAGGTGTTCAATCTGCGAGAAGGCAAGGAACTTAGGAGTCGCTGATAATCTGGAAGCAGAGACTGTGAGAAAAGAAACATTCAACTGAAATGAAAGCCAGCTCTTAGAAATTCAAATCATACACACTGATAAACAGCAACACATCAAAACTTTGGGGAAATCACGAAGTCTTTTGACC